CGAAAGAGGGGGAGGCCTTCAACGAGATGGATTGACACGGTGGCTGCAATGATGGGCTCAAGTATAGCAGGGATTGTGGGGCTGGCGCGGGATCAGGCAGTGTTTAATTCTGCATGGGGCACTATGAGTCGGAAACGACTCGACGGCACTTAACAACAACAACAACATTTTAAGTTGAAACTTTTATTTTTAGTAAAGTTGAACTTCTTTTTCACAATTACTGACACACTACATTTTTTGTGTGTGGTTCACAGTTCTTATCCCTTACTGCTTTTATTGAGTTCTAAGACTTCTTTCTGTATTAAGGATATTATACCTCAGTTATTCAAATACTGTGTGTTGCATATATTTTCCCCATATATTTCTATCTTTCAATGTGGTTAACAGATTTTTCTACTATATCAAAAACTTAATTCTTACATTGTCAGATTTGTTTTTCCCTGAAAACATATTTTAATACCAAAAATATAGAGAATAATCTTGGAACAAAAACCAATCATTTAAAATTAAACTAGGATGAAATTCAGTATTTTGACTGTAGTTTTCTCATTTTTCCTCAAAGTACTGCCTGTTAAAAATGCTGGTATTGGAGAATCATTGGCGAGAAGAATAGATCAACTAGAGAAATGAAAACTGTAGACTAGGTCAGAATGTAGGCAATCTTCACCTGAAAGCAAGCAGACAGGAAATGCCAAGTATTAGCCAAGCCTCAGAGACTTAGGCCGAGATTCTCAAATCAAAGCACAAGCTAGCCTAGTAAGTTAATAATTATAAAATACTGAGAACCTCAAATAAACAAGAGACACTCCTTCATACATACAGAAATCTAGGACTCTCTGAATCACAGAACTTCTCCAATATCCCCAAACAAACTCGAACTTACAGCTGTAACCGTTCTGGACAAATTGACATCTGGATAAATTGATAAATAATCAGAGGATAATTGGTAAAGGATAAAAGCAAGTTAAAGGAATTACTTTAAAATATTCCACTGACTACGTGAAAGAAAGTGTTAGTCTTCACAACAAACTAAACTAAAAATCATGAAAATGAACTTTTTCGTTCATTTGTTGTTAGGTGCCAT